CCAACACCCATCTCTCCACCAGTGTACATTTCCCACAGTGTCCCCAAGTTCCCTCCCATCACTCCAAACCCCCACCCCCTGCCTGCCTCTATGACAGATGCTCTCTCTCTCTCTCTCTCTCTCTCTCTCTCTCTCTCTCTCTCTCTCTCTCTCTCTCCTTTTGGGGCATTGTGGTTTGCAATGTTGATACTGAAGGTTATCAAGACTATCCCCTTATCTACTTTGAACACTCAGGTCTTGTCCGGCATGATCATTCCTAGCTATTATTGTCATACTGGTCTCTTCTCTCTTACCTACTCTCCGCCCCACATACACTTGTGGTTAGTTGAAGACATCTTGGAAGGAAAGAGGGTTCATTTAAGTTTGGAAAACATTGGCAACCAAACTTCTTAAATTTTGAGAAAAATCTCTCCCAGCCTTAGGACATCATTGCCAGGAGGGATGGAACAGGTGTAACCTTATCATCCTCTCCATCTGCCTTGGCATCCTGCTCTCACAGGGCTAGTTTGTCCTGTGTGCAGCCTCAGGGAAGCAAAACACACTTCCTGAGCTCACCTTGGCCTGAGCTGAGGCTGTGGTTCAGCGGCATTCTGGTTAGCGGACTGGATCCTAAATGGTGGTGAGGAGCCAGTTACTTCTGGTAACACATTCCTTTCTCTCTCCTTTTCCGTTAATTCATTAACTCACTCCCTCTCTTGTGCATCCACTGAGTTCTGGCTACTGGGGCAGATGCTGAAGGAACTAAGACAAGCAATGCACTGTCGCTGCTCTATGAGCCTCCTCTCAGGGCAGAAGGGAAGAGAAACAACAACAACAACAAAAAAAACTGGCAGTGCAGGTACGACCCTTGGGACAGAAAAGAGGGGGTGGTCAGTTCAGAGTCCGGAGAGACCCACCCATTCCGGCAGAGCGACCGGTCTGGAGGAGCAGAATTAAGGAGCATGCCCCATGGACTATGAGGGGTGGACCTTGGGAGGTGGGATGCCTGGCTGAAGGATCTAGTTCTAGAGGCCAGGTGATAGCTCAACAACCATCAGTGGGCTCTCCACGAAGGAAGGACCCTGTGCAGGGAGGAAAGGGGGACTTGGAAAGAGTGGGACATCAGGGGGCAGAGGCAGGGAGAGAGTAGAATCAGTGCCACCCATGAGACACTTGAGTGACTGGAGAGTGGACTGCAGAGCCAATCAAGAGGAAAGAAGAGGGTTGAGAACGGTAGTCCAGTGGGTAGGGCACTTGCCTTGCACACAGCCCATCCAGGTACCATCCCCAGAATCCCATATATATCCCGGAGATATATCCCATATCTCTGTGCACTGCCAGGTGGAATTCCTGAGTGCAGAGTCAGCAGTAAGTCTTGAGAACCCTCAGGTATTCCAAAAAAGCAGAGGGGGGTGAGTGGGATGGAGAGGCAGGAGTCTGGCCACAGGTAAGAGTTTGGGATGTGCCACATCTGTCTTTGACTGTCACTGGAGTTGTGAGAGCCCAGTGCTCTCTCTTCACACCCTGGGCAGGGCTGGGCCCCTTCCTTCCTTCCTTCCCACCTTGGTGGTGGGGGGGTTCATTTCTCTGAGGAGTTCACCCCATTGTCACTCTCCTATTCCTGCAAACTCTCCTGGGGCAACCTCTCCCACCCCAGTTATCCATGTCAGAGAGGTCCCCGCAGAGCAACCAGCATCCCCAGCACACCCAGAGGGGATGAGCTTGAGCTGGACCACATGCGGCTGCCTGGGCGCAGGAGGCAGGACGGCGGACCGTATGTTTCACCTCCTCGGCTCCGTGTCCGTGGGGAAATGACTCGAGGAGGGCCTGGCCGTTTCACACCCTGACCTGATGGGACCTGTATCACCCACCGCTGAAGAGGACGTTTTCAGAGGCCAAGGGGAAAACTGCCTCAAGATGAAAGCTGCCTCTCTGAGTCCAGTCTAGAAATGAATTCCACTGAAGAGCGGGAGGGGTGGGAGCAGGTGGAGAGGGGGAGGGTGGGAGCAGGCGAGAGGGGCGGGAAAGCAGGGGAGAGGGGAGGGGGAGTGGGGGAGGGAGGATGGGAAGGGGAAAGGGGGAGGGTTGGGAGGGGGAGGAGGAGGGTGGGAGTGGGGGAGAGGGAGAAGGGGGAGCAGGGGAGGGAGGAGGGTTGGGGAAAGGGGGAGGGGTGGGGGGAAGAGGAGGAGGGTGGGAGCAAGGGAGAGGGGGAGGGGTAGCAGAGGGGGAGAGGGGAAGGGTGGGAGTGGGGGAGAGGGGGAGGGTGGGAGGGGGAGAGGGGGTTGGGGAAAGGGGGAGGGGTGTGGGGGAGGGTGGGAAGGGGAGGAGGGAAAGGGGGCTGGGGGAGGGATGGGGGAGAGGGAGAGGGGGAGCAGAGGGGGAGAGGGAGAGGGTAGGAGCGGCCGAGAGGTCCCTCTTGGCCTCTGTTTGGCCGGAACCCGCCGTGCTCCCAACGGGTGTCGCAGTCTCCAGTGACCGCCAAGCAGCTGCGTGCCGCCAGCTCAGCTATTCCTGGAGAAACGCGTCCCTGGTGATCTGTGTGCGTCAGCCTCTTCGTCCCCCGTTATTCCCGTCCTGGCCGGGCTGTGGTGCCAGCTCGGCTTGGCAGGGAGGCCGCCGGGGGCTGCCAAGGCCGGAGCCACCAGAGCCAACTTCGTGAAACCTGTCACGAGCCCGCCTGGGGCTCTGGGACCCCGGGACCCTCAGAACCCGTCCACCTGTGATGCCCTGCCCTTAGGGGGACAGAACCTGGCAGCAAGTCTCCATGCTGCCCCCTCTGTCCTTCTCTGAGCCCCTGCCATGTCATTTCCAAAAGCTAGATGACACAACAGCACAACCAATATGAAATGGGACCCAGGGAAGGGGAATCCACCTTCTGTAAGGCCCTGCCCCACAACTGCTCACCAGGGTCAGCTCAGCCCCAGCCAGGGCCACCTCTGTGATAGATGGGCTAAAGCTTCTGACCATTTTTCTTCTGCAGGGGAGTAGGTGGGCGCTTCCAAGCAATCTTGGGGCCACTTCTGGAGAAATTCAGTTCAAAGCTAGTCTGAAGATTTGGTGTTGCCCCAAGAATAGCCGAGATTAGTACCAGAAGGTTTACTCCATGGCTTGGAAGCCAGCCACACATGCTAGGGGGAAAGGGAGCTCAGATAGAGAAGGGAGCACCAAATAAAGGGTGTTGGGAAGATCCGCCCAGGATGGGAGATGCATGCTGAAAGTAGACTATAGACCAAACATGATTGCCACTAAATGCCTCTTTTGCAAACCACAACACCCAAAAGGAGAGAGAGAGAACAAAAGGAAATGCCCTGCCACAGAGGCAGGGTGGGATGTGGGGGGATGGGGGTGGGAGGATACTGGGACCTGTGGTGGTGGAAAATGGGCACTGGTGGAGGGATGGGTATTTGATCATTGTATAAATGAAACCCAAGCACAAAAGTCTACAACTGTACCTCATAGTGTTTCACTAATAAAAATTAAAAAAAAAAAAAGAAAAGATTTGGTGTTGCTCAGGCCTGAGCATCTGGGGAGCACCAGGGCTATACCTGGTAGGGAATGGGAGTGGGGGAGGGCTAGCTCACCTCAGGGATTAGACTGGAAGGCCCTGCACCCCAACCCTTTGAGCCATCTCCCCAACCCTGGACTTTGTTTCTCAACTCCTGCCAGTGTCTTTAATATTTTTCTGCAGAGACGGTGTGTTGCTTCCCAGATTCTGAGAATCTGAATATTTTAGACAGACAAAACAGTCTCTGCTTCTTGTTGTTCTTATGAAATTCTTTGCTTCTGCTTCATGTCCTAGAACCTTGGAAGTGTCTCCTGACTCTGCCCTTGACCTTCCACCTACCTGCTCTCTCTCTCTCTCTCAACTAGACCCCCAACTTCCCGTTGCAGAGCTGTGAAACCACCCCTAAGCAGAAAGCTCAATGAAGGCTTTTCATGGGCCATAGCATTTGAAAACAATGGGCGTTCTTTATGCCCTAGCTTATCACGGTGACTTCAATACTCCTCTTGGGGCTGTGTGCATAACGGTGGAATTGGCAATACTTGTGTCAGAAAGACTCGGCATCTCTGGCACAGAAGCAGAGATGAGAAAGGCAAGTCGTGGAGTGGAGAAGCTAAAATGTCAAGGGCTTGCAATTCCTTTAACTCCCTAGGGTGCTTTAACCACTCACTGGGGTTGTTCGAAACAACAGAAAGTTCTTCTTCTGTGGTTCCTGGGAGCTGGAAGTGCAAATTCCAGGTGTGGGCAGGGTCCGCTCCCTCCTGAAGCTCTAGGGGCCGCCCTGCCTCTTCCTGCTTCCGGCTGCAGGCTCGGCCTGGCGCATGTCCGCTTCTCCCCAGCCTCCGCCTGTCCTCACAGGGCCTCCTCCTCCTCCTGGGTCTTTCCTATGTGTCTCTTCCAACAACAGTGTTTGGGTTTAGAAACCACCGAGAAAAGCTCAGATGATCACATCTCGAAACCCTCTGCTTATTGGCATCTCCAGAGACTTTTACCCAAAGAAGGTCACTGTCTGCACTAATTCCAGGATAAGCACATATATTTTAGGAGGCACCAAGCAACCTAGGAAAACACACTTCTGTGTCCGAATGAGGAAAGAGGATGTTTCCCTCTTTGTTCTCGGACAGTATACTAAGATGGAGCTCCAGAATTGATTATTCCTGGCCCTATTTATAGAAGTTACCAGAAATAGGGGCTCCTAAACCTCGAGGTAAAGGTATTGGTGCAATTAATTATCATGACTTCAAGCCCTGTGTAGGCACCCTGCATGAGGAAGAGAATGCCCCAGACAGAGCTGCAACGCTGCAATCCGGAGCTTGGATTTCCCTCTGGTTTTTGTTTGTTTGTTTGTTTGTTTGTTTGTTTTTATCTATTTGCTTTCTTTACACTCAGGAGCCTTATCTTGCTGGCAGAGAGGGAAACCTGAGGATTGGAGCTGGTGTTGAACTCTCCAGGTGCCACTGCTGTGTCCCAGAGGTTCAGCTTTATTTTCTGCTGTTGCAGAGATACCACACAGAGCAACTTAAATCAAGACCCGTTTATTGAGAAGTTGCCATTGTAGGTCAAAATCTGGCCAATGGAGGCTTAGCTGTTCTCAGTTTAGGTTTTTCCAAAGCAGAGGTGGAAAAGGCCAGCCTGGTTCTCATCCAGAGGCTTCACCTCTAGGGGCTCCTTGCTGTGTTATTGATTCATTTTGTTTCATAGGCTTGGAGAAGTGAGTCCTGGTTTCCTTGGGGGCCATCAGCTGAGTTTTTCTCAGACACCAGAAGCTGCCCAGACCCTTGGCTTGTGCCCCTCCGTGGAACTGCTCGGCATGCTGCCTCTGCTCAAGATTTCTCTTCCTTCCCCTTGGCCTCCGAGGCTGCTTTCAACAGACTCCTGTGATTCCAGTAAGTTCACCTGGATAATCTTCTCCAAAGGTCAAGTGAACGCTGGCACTGGGAAGAAAGTCAGCAGAGGGATGAGAATGGGAATTTATTCAGCCAAGCATCGCATACAAAATCATTTTACCGCATGAGAACCACAGTCAAAGCGCAGTCATTCCTCCTTATCTTTCACGTCTCATCACAATGGCTACTCGAACCTGATTTTCTTAAAGAATTGGGGTTTCAAAAGAAAAAGTTCCTAGTTCTTTTTCTTATGGAACTGCTTATAAAAAGAGATATGAGAAAGAAACACACTCTGTTACCCAAAAACAAATCAAAGCATGCACTGTGGAAAGAGGAGGAGCCTTTTGGGGTATGAGTCTCTTGGGAGCACATGTGCATGGGGTTGGGGCCCCTCCCGGCCAGAGTCGACCGCTGCGGGGGCCAGGGCCCCTGGCTTCTCTTTCTCACCATCAGGGGTGCCTTAGGAAGGAGCAAGGGGGCACACTTGCTGATGGAATTTATTATCCCAGTGCATGAGCGCTGGGTAGCAGGTTTTTCCATTATGACCTGTCAGGGTTATAGTTGTATTTTTTTGGCCCTGCTGCCCCATGTACCTTTGGGTTAAGAAATGCCTTATCCTTCCCTTATGCTGTAGTCCTGGGGAAGTTAGAGACACGAACAGGGAGCTGACAGGGCACCAGGAAGGCAGTCAGAGGCGGGAGCTCGGAGCAGTCAGTGCTGGGAACCGGGCAGAGAAAATAGGTCATAAATCATCAGTTATGATTCAGAACAGGACAGAAGGACATCTTATTATCTCATTCCTACTTTGGACAACCTGGCAGGCTACCGAATATAACCTGCCCACACGGCAGAGTCTGGCAAACTCCCCGTGGCGACCCAATATGCCAAATAACAGCAACAATGATGGGCCTCATTCTCCTAACCCTGAAAGAGCCTTGAATGTGGCACTTTTTAAAAAAATCTCAGTGCTACGACAAAGGAGACGTTAACGGGGTCTGCTCGAGGCAGTCAATGAACAGGATGGTCGTGATCGTGATCGTGATGGAACCTAAACCACCAGCTGCCCAACAGACTCTGCGTAAGGAAAGGCAGACATGGACACCAGCGCTTCCTGGCGTCGGTTGAGAAGCTGACATGCCTTTTCTCCCTGTCGAGCTGCGCTGGGTGATTCACAATCCTTACGCCAACCTTGTGCCATGAGAGTGTACTCTCACCCAAGGCGTCATCCTCTGCATGTGTGGCTGGTTGACGCTCAGGGATCGTTTGCTGGGGATCCCTGTGGGCAGAAAGTGTTCAGCACAAAGATTCCCAGCGACCCTCACAGTCCCGTCAGGTGCCTCTCCTGCTCAGTGCCCCTCAGGGCGTTGTCCTCAAGGAACCCATTGAGAAACTGCATTCCTTTGCGTTTCTCCCCTTTATCCTACCAGTGTGCTATGTTGTCAGGAAAATTCCTATAAAAAGTGCTCTGTGTACCTGCTTGGGGCCTCAGTTTCAGGTGACTTGCCTCGTTGCAGTTCATCTTGATGTCAAATAATTAAATCTCCTTGCTTTCACGCCTGAAGATGGTTTCGGTGTGATCTTAAAGTCCGTTACAACACCCCCATGTGGGTTCTAGGAGAACTGACTTAATCACAACTGACACAGACAGTTTGACAACAATGCAAATGAAACCCTGGCTCCCTACCTGTTTTAAGAGGCCCCTAGCTGAGAAAGGAATTTCAGGGGTGAGTGCTGGGTGAGAGGGACCCGATTGAACTCAGCTGAGCAAAGTGTTAAGCTCTCCCAAGCACCATTCTCCTTAGCAGGGCTGCGTGGAAGCTCTCTGCTGCCTAGACCTTTTCCCAGTCCGACTATAAATGTGCTTTCTTCACAGGTCTGACTTTTGAAGCAGGAAAACCTGATATCAACGCCTGATAGACATTCCGAGGAAGGCACAAAGGGTCTGAGGACAAGCATGGGTGTCCGGAGCACCTACCTTGAAGTGCACAGTCCTGAGTTTAAAGCCCCATGTCCCACATGTGCTGAGTGACATCTTGGCAGCTCTGCTCTCTGTGATCCAGGCTCTGCAAGCAGTCAGATGTGTGTGGAAAAGGCGTGTGGCCCCCACCCTCATCAAGCATCACAATTAGGAAGCTGTGTGAGCACCAGGCTAGGTGTATGTGCGCCCCAGGTGAGGTGTGTGAGACCCAGGTGAGGTGTATGTATGAGCCCCAGGTGAGAGGTATGTGTGAACATCAGGTGAGGTGTGTGTGAGCCCCAGATGAGGTGTGAGCCCAAGGTGAGCTGTATGTGTGAGCCCCAAGTGAGGTGTGTGTGAGCCCCAGGTGAGGTGTGTGTGTGAACCCCAGGTGAGGCTTATGTGTGAGCCCCAGGTAAGCTGTATATGAGAGCCCAAATGAGTTGTATGTATGAACATCAGGTGAGGTGTGTGTGATCCCCAGGTGAGATGTGTGTGAGCCCCAGGGCAGGTGTGTGTGAGCCCCAGGGCAGATGTGTGTGAGTTCCAGGTGAGTTGTATGTGATCCCCAGGGCGGGTGTGTGTGAGCTCCAGGTGAGGTATATGTGTGAACATCAGGTGAGGTGTGTGTGAGCCCCAGGGCAGGTATGTGTGATCCCTCACACAAATAGGTGAGTTATTTGTGTGAGCTATAGGTGAGGTATAGGTGTGAACATCAGGTGAGGCATGTGTGAGCCCCAGGTGAGCTATTTATGTGAGATCCAGGTGAGGTATATGTCTGAACATCAGGTGGGGTGTGTGTGTGTGAGCCCCAGGTGAGGTGTGTGTGTGTGTGTGTGTGAGCCCCAGGTGAGGTGTGTGTGAGTCCCAGGTGAGGTGTGTGAGCCCCAGGTGAGCTATTTGTGTGAGCTCCGGGTGAGGTATATGTGTGAACATCAGGTGAGGTGTGTGTGAGCTCCAGGTGAGGTGTGTGTGTGAGCCCCGGGGCAGGTGTGTGCAGCCTCAAGCTATTGTAGCAACAGCAACAACAGCAAAGGGACACAAGAGGGAAGGAAGTGGAGAGAATGGACAGAGACAGGCACAGAGCAGTGTCCGGTGCATGTAAATGCTAGCATGGCAGAAACTCACACGGGTGAGCAGCTTCACCGAGAGAAACCAGGGGACCCTGCAGTCCTGCTCACAGTGGCAGTTAGACCAGCTCAGGGAGCTGGTGCAGGGGTCGAATTGGAGGAACCCAGATGCCAGCATGAGTCTGCTCCGAGGGAAGCACACAGCTTTCCTCCTCCCCAACAACCGCCCCAACAGGTAAACACAGTTGGCTCCCAGACTCTGTCTGCTTACACAGGCACCTCTGCCCAGAAGTGACCAAGATTTCAGCCCCCAGAGGGAAAGCAGTTGCTCGGCATAAATCACCTTGTTCGCACAAACAGTTCAGACGCCGTGAGTCACCCTTATCAGTCGGGGGGTGGGACGCTCTTGAAACGCAGGCGCCAGCCAACGGCCAGACGCACAAACGCCTTTCTAAGAATAGTAGCCTCCTGTTGGTCGCCGTCACGTTCTGCCCACAGAGATCCCCAGCAAAAGGTCCCTGAGCGCCACCCAGCCAAACACGCAAAGGGTGATGCCTTAGGGTCAGGTGAGCTTATCCCTTCATGAAATGAGGTTGAGGTCCTGATTGGGGATCAATCAGTGCAACTCAACATTGTGAAAATACCAGGGGAGAAAAGGCACGTCAACGTCTCAACCGAGGAGGGTGCTCTCTGTGTCCACCTCTTCCAATGCAGTGTCTGGTCCCTGGGAGGAGCGGCCAGCGAGCTCTCTAGTGCCTGCAGGCTGGAGTTGGCTGCCCTGGTCTGACCCTTTTCATGGAAGGGGTAAGTCGGACCCTCGGGAGTCCTCCCGTCATACCTGAACACGTCTCTGCTCCAGCATGCAGATAAAGGGCTGATATAGTGCCTACTGCCCATTCTTAAATCCCCTCCACTCTTTCCCCATCACCAGCTTCTTTCCCTGTAGTCATCTCAGCTCCGACACCCCTGTTCACTGACTTCTGAGTTTCTTACATCATCAGCTTGCGCGCCTTGCCCTGTACTCAAGTGAAATCATCCAGTGCATAGTTGTCTCCTGACTATTTTGCTTCTCATGACCCCCTCGCATTCCCTCCGCTCCAACGCCAGCGGGAAACAACCTCCTTCTCGACCTCATGCTATGCTGTATATGTGCGCCACAGCCTTTCTTAGCAGGAGAGGGAGGAGACAGGCCAACAGCTGACAACACTCAGGGCTTACTCCTGGCCTTGTGCTCAGCGGTCACTTCTGGTGGTTCTCAGGGGAACTTATGTGGTGCTGGAGACCAAACAGGGTAGTCACGTGTGAGGCAAGCACCTTACCCACTGAACTGTCTCTTTTGCGGCCACGACCGTCAGCCATGACCTTGCAGTGTCTGTGTGTCCATGCATACATAACTCAGAACCAGATTGTCCTACCCGCCAGGGATGACCCACAACACTCCACACACTATCACCAGAGCCTCCAAAGGTGCCCAGAAGCCCCCTTGGAGCAAGAGGTGGCACTGGCACTGTCTGTTTCTGAGCCAATCCCTGGTGAATCAGGCTAGACCTGTCCCTTCCCCACCCTCTGGCTGGGAGGAGAGGGGAGCGGGAGACAGGTGTGCACCATGGGTCAGCCATGTGCTCCCGAGACAGCCTGTCCCCCTGGCTCAGTTCGGACACAATTCTAGATGCACCAACACATATAAACCACCTGACCTGGGACTTGATATCTCCATGTGGACAGCTGCCAAGTCTCCCTTTGGAGAATCTCCTGGAAATTTGTGGGAGATCATCTACACAACAAAAATCCCCACGGTCAGGACCATCTCCCAGCAAAACAATGTAGGTCTTACCTGCCTAGTAAACATGCGCCCTGGAAAGAGGAGGTGAGGGCAAGACAACGCACACCCCTGGGCAACAAACTTGCACCAAGCAAAGAATAAACCAGTGGAGGGTTTTTTAGAGGGAGAGAGCAACATGGGGCAAGAAGAGGAGAGGAAATTATGACTGTACACGTTCAGAGCTGACTGGCCGTGAAACACCCCAGCCTCTGCTCTTCAGCTACCTTGAATGTGGATGTGTTTACTGACTGTCCTTAATGTCTTTGTCCCTTTAAACTTGGTTGGGCAAGAAATATTGTACTGAATTAGTGGCCAGCCTGTGAGCTTACTGACGGTTGCCCAGGGAACCTCAAAGCTTGAACAGTATTTGTATATTGTCTTCCTGTGAGTTAGTTTGTCTCATTCTCTGCAACCAACCCCCCACACCCACCCCCATATACTGGATGGAGATCAAAGATGCCCATCCAATTGGCTTTCTTGTAGTAAATTGTCACAGAAGTTATTTTTGAACAGGTATCTAGTCCCCACTGCAGACAGCAAGGCTGAGGCCTAGGAAGCCTGATCTGTCTCACCTGGATCCAAGCGTGGAGCTTCTACTCTACTCTGTTTCCTGCTCTGGGGTCCCCCTGGTAGACAATGTTCTTGCCCCCTGTCTGGGCCAGTGCTGTGCTTCCCCCTTTATGAGATAGAAGAAGACACCGTTGTTTGTTCCTTGCTGGGGATGGGGCATTCCAGCATCTCTCTGACCATTGGATCCCCTTCACTGACAAATCTGACCCCCAATTCTTCCTAGGGCTCATCTCACACTCATTGGACAAGCATGTTCCAGAGGGACACGGTCATCTGGCCGTCCAGCCCTATTCAAACAGCACTGCTAATACAGAAGCACCTAGTGCTCAGGTGGCCCATACTTCTCCCAAATGTAGGATGACCCAGAGAGAGAATTCACAGAGGGCTGGAGATTCTAGAGACTCAGGCTTTTGACCACCCCATGTGGATTCAAGTTCATCCTGATTCTCTTTCCTGAAGATCAAAAGGATATTTGCCATCTGTTGGCCACAGACCACACACATGCAGCTGTGTTCCTCAAATTCTAGCCAACAGACCACATTTGGCTCAAAGGCAATAGCTAAGTCTATCACGGTCCTTCAAGACCCATTGGGACTTTAGGGCCTGGAATTAAAAATTGATATAATGGGGCAAGGAGATATCTCGGTAAATAAGGTACTTGTCTTGCATATAGCTGACCTAAGTTTGATCCCTCACCCCACACAGTTGAAAAATAACTTCTATGACAATTTACTACAAGAGCCAACTGTAAGCCCTGAGCACTATGAAATATGGCCCAACATTGCCCTCCATTCCAAAACAAGAAATTTGATGGAGCTTACCATCCTGTTCTTCCAGATCCTTGAAGGAAAACTCATTTCCGTCACCCACAAAGTACATATTTTTTTCATTTATTATCCTTATCGAGCCAACATGGCCGACCCAAGTTCAATTTCTCCGCCCCTCTCAGAGAGCCTGGCAAGCTACCAAGAGTATCTCGCCCCCACAGCAAAACCTGGCAAGATACTCGTGACATATTCGATATGCCAAACACAGTAACAACAAGTGTCATGATGGAGATGTTACTGGGCCCGCTCGAGCAAATCGATGAATAACAGGAGGACCGTGACCATGATCCTTATCGAGATTGGAGGTGAAAGAGATAACTCCCAAGACTTTTGCTTGGACTTTAAGCAAGTAAAAGG